ATTTCTATGGCAGTGAACATATCCTTGGCATCATCCTTTTTAAAAGCTTGATGTATATTAAGTTCATCATTGCCACCCCAGAAGTAAATTTTCTTATATATATATATTTTAATGGATGCAAGCAAGCATTTTTGGGCTGAATTCATAGAAGTAGAATTTCTGGAGGAAAATAACATAAAACACTTTTAAGATTTTTCATAGAAATTTTCAAATTATCCTGCAGAAAAATTGGTTCAGAGTTTATACTCCCAAAGTGACAGAGCTCTAGTGTCCCCCTTCCATTTGTCCACTTTACTGGTTATTCAAGGAGAAAATCTCATTGTTTTCATTACATTTCTTTGGTTTCTAGTGCTTTGGAACTTTTTTTTTTTTTAAGATGGCGTCTTGCTCTATCGCCCAGGCTGGAATGCAACAGTGCAATCTCGGCTCACTGCAACCTCTGTCTCCTGGGTTCAAGCCATTCTCCTGCCTCAGCTTCCCAAGCAGCTGGGATTACAGGTGCCTGCCACCATACCTGGCTAATTTTTGTATTTTTTAGTAGAGATGGGGTTTCACCATGTTGATCAGGCCGCTCTCAAACTCCTGACCTCAGGTGTTCCACCCGCCTTGGCCTCCTAAAGTGCTGGGATTACAGGCGTGAGCCACGGCACCCAGCGTTGAATCTTTTTTATATGCTTATTGGTCATTTTTTTTCTTGTGGAAAGTGCCTGTTTCTCCATTGCCTATTTTCTGGCCAACCTCCAAAGTCACATTTCACTTAAATTTTATCCTGCTGATTGAAAGCATTTTAACATAAACAAGAGCAGGACAGACTGTAATTATGTAGCTCTTGCTCTGTCACCCAGACTGGAGTGCAGTGGCATGATCATAGCTACCACAGCCTTGTACTACTGAGCTGAAGCAATTTTCCTACCTCATCCTCCCAAGTAGCTAGGACTACAGGTGTGTGCCACGATGCCCAGCTAATTCTTAAAAATGTTTGTAGAGATGTGAATTCACTGTGCTGCCCAGGCTGGTCTTGAACTCCTGACATAAAGTGATCCTCCCACCTTGGTTTGCCAACGTGCTGGGATTACAGGCGTGAACTACTGCTCCCGGCCGAGAGCTCATTTTGTTTGCTAGTGGAGTTCTTGGTATATTTTTATGTTTGAGGCTTTGGTGCTAGTGCTGAAGTATTACACTCACCATCTGAGGTTTACAGGACTTTTGTTTTTAATATTGAACAGATGGAACTGTGTAGTTCTGTATCTTTGCAGGCATACAAAACATGCCTACCAGGATTCTGCTTTATATCCATTGAAAGCAAGAAGTAATACAGTAAAACTTTGCCTGGCTTACAGGCTTTGAAAGAATGGAGTATTTTGATTTCATTCTATTAACTTGGAAGTGTGAAGGTGAAAAGAATTCAAAACTTACATTTCTGGTTGAATGCAATTTGAAAATACAGCCAATCATTCCCCTTTTCTTCTGAGTAAGTTTGGACATTCCAATCTACTTGGTGTTTTATTGTAGAACTGCTAGTGTGCCTGAGACTAACATTGTGAAGATAAGTTTTTAAAACTTGAGAGGTAGGAGGGTGTAAATGGTATTGTATGAGATCAGGCTGGATGAGCACTGACACTTGTAAATATACTTTTTAGAGTGAATCTCTGATTGCCACTTGTTTTCTTATTAACTCATAAAAATAGAACACATCGGATGGAGGGTGGGAGTAGGAAGGAGACTTATGTGTTTTAATTGCATCTCATGGTTTCATATCAAGACAGAACGTATGGTATCCCTGGCTTTGGACTTACAGAAGGAAACACATTTTTCTACCTACTGTATGCCAGAGGTTCTTGAACATCTGGAGGGATTACTGCAGCACAGATTGCTGAGCCCTACTCCAGAGTTTCTGATTCACCAGGTCCAGGGTGGGGCCTGAGAATTTGCACTCATAAAAAGTTCTCAGGTTCTGCTGGTGCTGCTAGTCCAGAGACTACATTTTTGAGAACCACTCTTGTCTACTAACTGTAAATTGTAGAACTCTAGAAAAAAGCTTAGTTTGGTGTGGGAAAAGAAGCTCACAGGTTATGGAGCAAATCGTGAAAGATTCAACCCTTGATCTCAGCCTAGTGTGGAATTCAGGTAACAAGCAATACACAGTGACATAACACAGTTCTTGGTTTTCATGATTGCAAGTCACAGCCAAGTATCAAGTGAGAAATTCAGTTTCATTTGCAAGGCTTAGAGAGGTCAGGTGATTGTAGAAAAATAGACCTTGTATATACTTTAAACCAGAAAGAACTTTGAGTGCTGATTAAGTTGAAAGCTTTGTGGTTTTATTTACTTTTGATTCTTTTATTTTATTTGAGATGGAGTCTCACTCTGTCGCCCAGGCTGGAGTGCAGTGGCATGAGCTTGGCTCATTGCAACTTCCACCTCCCAGGTTCAAGTTATTCTCCTGCCTCAGCCTCCTGAGTAGCTGGGATTACAGGTACCCACCACCACACCTGGCTAGCTTTTGTCTTTTTAGTAGAGATGGGGTTTTACCATGTTGGCCAGGCTGATCTTGAACTCCTGACCTAAGGTGATCCACCCGCCTAGGCCTCCCAAAATGTTGGGATGACAGGTGTGAGCCACCGCACCCAGACCAAAAGCTTTGTGTTTTTAAATATATTAGACATGTTTCTTGTTTTTAAAAAAATCTTAATAATGTAGGAGAATAAAAGAAATGTTTTTCCAAAAAAGAGAAATCATTGTGATTATTTTACCTTATTGGAATATTGGATAATATAGTCCACTTCATTAATCATCAAACATGCTATGGATTTTCCATTTTTATAGCATCTATCTCAATTGAGGTAATACTGGTAATTCTTGTACTCCATCTGAAGATGAAAAATGTAGGCCAAAATCATAGACCACGCATAGAAGCTGGATAATGAAGAGAGCTGTGGAGGAACATGTAGACACACACACACACTGACACACATCTATTTAGAGTATAAACACATATACTTTTTAAAGGTTATTTGGAACGTTTTAAAGCAAAAGCCAGCCACCCCACCCCCCAGTAGGCAGGCCCCGCCCCTCTCCCCAAGTGGGCGGGGACAGCAGTTGCATGGGCAGCTTTCCTTGTGATGCCACAGGTTCCTCTGGCCACACTGCTGCTTGGCCACGCCTCCTTTCCCTTTCATCTTTCTCATTGGCCAATGGGCTTGGAGAATTAAGGCCACGCCCCCATTCTGCATTCTAGTGGGGCCCTGGTTACGCCTCCTCTGGCTCAGTCACACAGCCGCCTGGTAGGTGACTGGAGGTGTTCGCTGATGTGGCCCCAACCCTGCCTCCCTCCCCACCCCATGATGTTAGAAGAGACTCAACGGAGTCAATTGGCAGCAGCCAAGAAAAAGGTAAGACACAACAGGTCATGGCCCCCCAACCTAGCCAGAGATCCCCTCCGATGACAAGACCACTGCCAGAGTGCATACGACTCCTGGGGCACACTGGGATAGGCCCCCTAACCCTAGCACCTCTGGGCTCCCCCCACCAAAGTCTCATCAGTCAGCCCTGCCCCCTCAGCAAGCAGCCCAGCCTCTGCCCTCGCCAGTCGCCCCATGGTGACTTTTGGCAGGTGCCTCCTGGGGCTCCCTGCTCCATACTCGCCCCTCACATCCTGCTGCCCCAAGCCCAACCTCCCTGGGTTCTTTGGGCTCAGCTGTCCGAGGACCTGGGTCCCCCAGCCCCAGTCCCCCACCACCGCCAGTCATCCTCGGGTGATTTTGGGCTGCTGACTCCTGGGGTTTCCTGCTGCAGACTGTACTCTCCCCTCCTGCTGACCCAAGCCTGACCTCCCTGGGCTCTTTGGACTGGCATCTCCAAGGACCTGGGCACCAGCCCTATGTCCCACTCCCCCATCATGGATCAGTAACTCAGCCATTATACTGATGTGGTTCCCCCCACCCCCAGGAGGAGTGGAATGTAGTGACGTCACAGTTCCCCTAGGAACTGGCATTACTGCTTCAAGACTGGCCTATGGTCTTACAACCCAGTCCCCTAAGCATTCTCGCCCCATTTCTGGTTCCTCTGGCCACGGCACACATTTCCAGCTGGAAGGGGAATGGGGACTATGGGACTTAGGAGCAACAGGTTTCAGGTTGCCTTACTCCCTTTGCATAGACATTGACTTTGTGAAAAGCCTACACTTCCCCTGTGAGATCAAACGTTGACAGTATCTCTGGGTGGCAATGGGAGAATGGGTTTGGTTTGGTTTTCTCCCAGCCTTCTACTCTCCAGAGAGACTTTAACATATTTTTCTGAGTTCTCCACCTCATATTCTAATTCTCCACAGTTCTGGGACCAGACTGCCCTTCAGTCAGTGGTCTCTGAATTGAGATTTGCCTATCTTCTGTGGAATAGATCTTGGGAAACTGAACTTGACAGCTTGAATCTTCCTCATATCATCTCAACTTGGGGTACTTTGAGTGCCACAGGATAAATGTGGGAGATCTTTCTGAAGCATCAGTTTCCCTTGATTCTCTTGAGAGAGAAAAAACGTTAATGTACTTAGGGATGACAGTCACATACATTTCTAAGATTATACCAGACTTCTCTCTGAAATGAGACTTGGGTTGTCCTTTTTCTGATAAATTCCCAGATTTAACAAAAAAGCTGCCTTCTGCCATGAGGACACATGGATATAAAAGTTTGAGAGGTCCTGGTGCACTTCTTCACACTTACAGACGTGTGAGGATGTATGACTCCAAACCACACAGTGTGCAGTTCCTGCCTACTTAATGTTTAGTTTTCTATCTCTGGCTCTGATTTTGGTCTCTGGCAGCGGCTGATTCGTGGCAAAACCCCAGATCTTGGAGTCAGAAGACTGAGTTTAAGTCCCATTATTGCCCACCCTGCCTTTTTTTTAGCCATAATATTCATCCCTCTCAATCAGTAAGTGATTGTGAAAACACCTTGTACAGTTGTTGTGGCATTAAATCAGATGGTGTATAAGAGTATTTTGAAAAACTGTAAAGGGGGATGTGGCTGTAGGGGCTGGTAGTTCTCATGAGTATTACTGCACTTCTTTCCCACAGCTAAAAGAATATCAGCAGAGGAACAGACCTGGTGTTCTGCCAGGAGTGAAGACAAAAAAGAAGAAAACTGGCAGTAGCCCTGAGACAACCACTTCTGGTGGTTGCCACTCACCTGGGGATGTGAGTCTTGGCTGGCCAGGCTCCTGGGGACAGGGGGCCCAAGGGGGCAGTAGAGGGTAATTGTTAAGATTGCTGGGTACTAGTTAAGAATTCTGGGTTTGAATCCTGCCTCTCCATTGGCTAGGGATCTGATTTATGGCAAGTTGCTTGAGTTCTTTGGGCCTCTCTTTTCATATCTATAAAATAGGGGTAGTGTTGTTTGATTTTCATTTCTGAAGTTTAAATGATATTCCATATTGTAGTTGTTTTTATGTTAATCCCTAGTACATGTCCTGCTGTGAACACCCAGGATACCCCAGAAATGGTCATTGCTGTTTGATTTTCCTGATCCCCAGTCTCAAGGGGGAGCTGGGCCGATGAGTACAGCCACTTGCTATCAAGCTGTCCCTTTAGGAGTCACAGAAGGGGGCTCAGGGTGTGGTGAGGAGAGCCCCAGGCACTAGGAGTAAGAGAAGATCTAACTTGCCACCAGCTTGCTGGGTGACCACAGAAAAATCACTTCTTACCCTGGGCCTCAGTTTTCTCCATTGTAAGATGACACTGGATAAGATCAGGGTCTTTCAAACTTGTTTTTTAGCTGGAGCCCCCTTAGTTCAAGTGAACCCTTAGTCAGGAGTCTGGTTTTTTAATAGAGGTGGAGGTCTGGAGCTCTACCAGATTCATCGTCCATGTCCTGGGCCTGAGGAGAGGGGTCCAGTGAGCATATTAAGAGCTGCATTGGTCAAGTGACTCCACCCTGTGACTGCATCGCTCAGGGAACATTTCCATCTATTTGTTCCTGCCCCTGGCAAGGCAGCAGGTGGCCATTTGGAAGAATGGCACAGGCCATGGTTTCAATCTCCTCTGCTCTTCCTCAGCGTTTTATTTTCCTGAAACCACATCTTTCTCCTACCCTGACTTTTTTGTTTCTCTCTACACCACTTCTGTCTTTCTCCCCCTGCCCTTGTTTTTCCCTTGTCCCCTCCTATAGATTCAGGACATTCTGAAGGTGATGGTGTCCAACCTTAACCATTCCAGTGGGGTAGCGCTTCCCCATTGCACAAGTGGAAGGTGAGGCAGTGCTGAGACCCCTCTCTGGCTTGCTCTCTCCAGCTGTGCATGCCCATGAGGCTTCTCTGGTTTCTGGGATACTTTGCCTCTGCCTTGTTTTATGTTGCTGCCATTAACCTTCATCCTGTTTATGTCTGCTTCTTCACCTGCTTGATCGATTGGGTTTTTTCCTTCCCTGCATCTTTTATCATCTTGGAAATGGTGAGACCTTACAGTTTAAAAGTAACTTGGGAATAACATACAGAGCAGGCATGTGCGATTTGGGGATTTTTTTTTTTTTTTTTTTTTTTTTTTGAGACAGAGTCTCACTGTGTCACCCAGACTGGAGTGCAGTGGTGCGATCTCAGCTCACTACAACATCTGCCTCCCAGGTTCAAGTGATTCTCTTGCTTTAGCCTCCTTAGTAACCGGGATTACAGGCACCTGTCACCACACCCGGCTAATCTTTGTATTTTTATTAGAGACGCGGTTTAACTATGTCAGCCATGCTGGTCTTGAACTTCTGACCTCCAGTGATCCACCTGCCTCAGCCTCCCAAAGTGCTGGGGCTACGTTCGTGAGCCACTGTGCCTGGCCCCTTTGCTGTTTTTATACTTTCTCTATATCCATAACTGTTTCCCTGTAAGTTTTTTTTTTTTAATTTCTCTTTTTTATTACTCCTGCATCATCTGCTATCTTGAAGGATCTGGAGGTAAGAGGCCCTGAGCCAAGGTGCAGTGACCCTGCAGGCCAGCCCTCCAACCTCCTCTCACAGTGGGGGCTGGGTGCCCCTCTGCCAGCTAAGACAGCCCACACACACCCCAGCCCTAATGATTGTTCTCTCTACCTCTTCCCACAATCCTCCTCCAACTCCTCCTCTCTGCATGTGCCTCAGAGCCGGAACCAGGAACTGGAAGTAGCCCTGGACTCAAGCTCCGCAACAATCAATCAACTCTATGAAAACATAGAATCACTGGTAAGAGTCCAGTGGGGTCCTGTGATTCCACACTGCCAATCCTGGGCTTTAGTTTCCCCTTGGGGCTCTGAAGAAAGGGGCTGGGTCCCCTGGGGCCAAGGGCAAATGGGGAGCTGGAGCACCCAGGCCTCACCTGGAGGGACCCCAGAGCAAGGAGCATGCAGCATGGCTCTTCTGTCACTGCCCTCTTTGCCGACTCCCTCTTCTCCAGACACCCCTGCTCCGGTCCTTGCCACACATGCCCTGGGGTTGTCACCTCTCAGGGAAGCTCTAGCCTGATGGTTTGTCAGGGGCCCTGTATTTCTGCCATGACTCAGTCCCTAATTTGCTCTTTGAGTCTGGACAAGCCACCTCTCCTCCTTGCGCTGGTGTTTCCGAAGGAGGTAGAGCATCAAAGGTCTCGGTTAGCTCTGAGAGTCTGAGATTTAAAGGCTCCTAGAATGGAAACCTGAGGGCCAAGGGCTCCTGTCTGTCCTTTTCCATTCTATATCTGCTGTGAAGAACTGTACCTGGTTCGTATGTGCTCAGTAAATGTTTGTTGAATGAACACACCTTCCTCAATCACAAGCTGGCAGAAGGGTGGGCCTTTCTCAGACTCCGTCCCTAGAGGTTTATGTTACTGTCCTTTGGAGAGAATCCAGATTCAGACTTTGAGTTCTGTGGCTGTGGGCAAAAACCAACAAAGACCCAAATCCTCTGTCCTTGCGAGCTTGAGGACAGTTGACCAGTTCATGTTGCCATTGGGTCTGAGAATGTTGTCTTTAAAATTCATTCGTGGCCCCTGCCTACCGCTTCCTGGGGGATAGAGTTGAGGGGGCCACTTCAGTCACCTGAATTTGACTGTCCCCACAGAAACAACAGAAGAAACAAGTGGAACATCAGCTGGAAGAAGTAATGTGATTTCTTTGTTTGCTCACAACATGACTGCTGGGTTTGGGGGGCACTCAGATGTAGAGGCACCAGTCTAGTCTCGCCCACTCCCAGCGTGGGGAAGAAGGCACATCCCTCAGATTCCACCACATCTCCACAGCGTCCCTGATAACCTGGTCCCATGGGTGGCCCTGTGCTGGGGCATTGGTGGCATTCTGGCGGCATGTCTCTTGCTGTGCCATCTCTGCCTCCCCATGGTAAGAGCTCTGTCTTCCTCTTCCTATAGGAAAAGAAAGCAAACAATGAAATACACAAAGCACAAACGGAGCAGTTAGAGGTGAGTGGAGGGTGGGGAGTTTTCTCCTGTCCTCCAGAGAATGTTTCTTTCCTTTCAGCACTTGCTTGGCTTTTCTCCCAAACATTCAATTTCAGACAATCAACATCCTCACGCTGGAAAAGGCAGACTTGAAGACCACCCTTTACCATACTAAACGTGCTGCCAGACACTTTGAAGGTGGGAATCTGGGCACCCCATCATCCTTCAACCTGGCACTTTGACAGGTCTTTAGGGGGAGTCCTTTGGGCCCCATCTCAACCTCTGTCATTACAGAAGAGTCCAAGGATCTGGCCGGCCGCCTGCAATACTCTTTACAGCGTATTCAAGAATTGGAGCGGGCTCTCTCTGCTGTGTCTACACAGCAGCAGGAAGAGGACAGGGTGAGTCCAACCAACTGCCCCGTCCCCTGGCAGCCTGGCTTCCCAGATGGAGGAGAGAGTGTAAAGGTCCCTTCTGGAGGATGCAGTGTCCTGCCCAGAAGGCAGCATGCTCGTTTCTCGCTGCTATTGTGTGTGTTTGTTAGAGACAGCCTGGGGCTGAGTCAGCTGTTATGGGTGAGTTTAGGGGCACTGTGGGGAGTGAGTACTGCACACACAGCTTGAAGGCCAAGTGCCTGCCCTGCCCTTACCTGGCTGTGGCCTTGGCCAAATCCTAGGTGGGGTATTGGGTACTTGTACTGTGAAGGTACAGAAGAGTACCTTTAGTACATTACCATTTCTGTAGAGAGAGGAAAGGTGTGTGTGTGTGTGTGTGTGTCTGTGTCTGTGTGTGTGTGTACATACTATGATAATATGCATGAAACATGTCTGCAAGGGTTCGCAAAAAACTCAGGAGAGAGTAACAGGGTGGCTGGGAGACACTTCCATGGTGTACTTTCTGAGTTTTGGACTATGCGAATGTATCATCCTTTCAAAAAGTGAACAAAAGATTAATTTCCCCTTCCTTTCTGTGCCCCCATGCCCAGCAAGGAAAATGGGCTTAGAGAATTGGATAGACCTGGGTGTTCAAATCCCAGCTCTGTCTCAGTGATCTTAGGCAAGCACTTAACCTCGAACACTCCATGTTTTTCATCTACACAATAGAGGTAATCCTAGTAACTGTCTCATATATGGTGGTTGTGAGGATTACATGGGATTGCTTGTATGGAACCTGGTGAAGTACTCCATAAAGGTTCAAACAGTGGTATTAATAACAGTAATAACAACAGCAATGTTATCTGATCTCTCTGGGCCTCTGTTAGCCAGCTGTAAGTTCGATCTCTTTCCCTGTCCCTTCCAACTTTACTGAGTTCTTTTAAAAACCAGGCCACAGGCTTGGAAATGCCTTGATCTTTACTGATCGAGTTGTACATTGAGCCTAGCCCTAGCCCTTTAAGGGGCACTGCCCGGGCTCCCCAGATGAAAACTTCTCACTCTTCACCATCAGTCCTCGAGCCGCAGTGAAGCAGTCCTCCAGCAGCAGTTACGGCAGACTGGAAAGGAGCGGGCGCTGCTGAACGCACACGTGACACAGGTGAGGCTTTGCAGAGGGAAGCTAGAGAAAGATGAATATGCTCAACATATAAAAGGAGAGAGGGCCCGGTGGCAGGAGAGGATGCGGAAAATGTCGATGGAGGTGAGACCTGACCCTTCAGCCCCCACCTTAGATAGGTCACTGGATCTTTCTGGGCATCTGTAAAATGGGAAGAGTACAGCTAGAGGTGGTCATGGGTTTGGGCTTAGTGGAGGTGGGGGCAGAGAAGTAGATGGTAGCCTGTCCAGCCACCAGCCCCTCTCTCCAGGGCCCTTTCCCCCTGTGCTTTGGGCAGGCTCACGCATTGAAGGAGGAGAAGAAGCGTGACATACATCGGATACAGGAGCTGGAGAGGAGCTTCTCCGAACTCAAACACCAGATGGGTAAGATGGGGCTGGTGTGACCTGGGAGCAGGACTGGCATCAGAGGGCTGTGGGGTGGCTTAGAGTGCCCCAGGGAGGTGGGTGGATGGAAGGGCTTTGAGGCAGAGGGAAAGAGGTCTGTGCCAGCAGCTGGTAAGTCTTGTCATCTCCATGAGCCTCAGGGTCCCCGTCAGCTAAGAGCGAGGAGTGCCCATTGTCAGCCACCCACAGTGCTCTCTAGCTGACATGGCTTGGAAATTGGCTACCATCGGGTGCGAGGAATCATTAGCAGTGAGGCCAAGTTTGGGAAGCCTGAGAGGAGCTGCATCAAGAGGAGGGCTTTTTCTTTGAGGGGGGGTGGTGGGTGGGGAATCCAGAGGCCCTTATTGTCTGCTTCATTTCTCAGCTGAGCCCCCATCCCCGGTGGACCCAGCAGGGACATCTGAGGTGGAACAGCTACAAGATGAGGCCAAACACCTGAGGAAAGAGGTGGAAAGTCTGGAGGGAAAGCTCCAATTCCAGATGGAAAACAATCAGGCCTTGAGTCTCCTGAACAAGGAACAAAAGGAGAAGCCTCCGGGAGCAGGAGGAGAGGCTTCAAAAGCAGGAGGAGAGGAGGTTGCGGGAGGAGGAGAGACTATGTGAGCAACCTTTGTCCTTGGTGTGTGGACTCTGTGCGAGGGACATCTGAGGTGGAACAGCCAGCAAGATGAGGCCAAACACCTGAGGAAGGAGGTGGAAAGTCTGAAAGGAAAGCTCCAATCCTGATGGAAAGAACAATTTTTTGACTCTCCTGAGCAAGGAGCAAAAGGAAAGACCTAGAGCAGGGAGGAGAGGCTCCGAGAGCAGCAGGAGAGGCTCCAAAAGCAGGAGGAGAGGATCCAAAGCAGAGGAGAGGTCCCAAGAGCAGGAAGCAAGAGAGAAAGCCGCAGGAGGAGGGGAGAGAGGGACGCGTGAGCAAAGGAGAGTCGCGGAGAAGCAGAAGAGGCTGGGGGAGCAGGGTGAGAGGCTGCAAAAGCAGGAGGAGAGGCTGCGAAAGGAGGAGGGAGAGGCTGCAAAGCAGGAAGAGAGGCTGTGGGAGAAGGAGGGAGAGGCTGTGGGAGAAGGAGGAGAGGCTGGGGAGAAGGAGGAGAAGCTACTTAAAAACAGGAGAAGAGGCTGCGAATGCAGGAGGAGAGGCTCGCAGTCTCCCAGAACCAGTGCCCAAGCAGCTGGCCGGTTACACAGTGCAGCTTGAGGATCTGGTGGGTTGCCCCACCTGGGGCAGCCTCTGCTCCTCATCCCTAGCCCTCCAGGCCTTTGTTTCCCCCACCTGTAAAATGAGGCAGTGTAGCCTCTCTGCATACATGGTACTTCTAAAGACATCTGTGAGCCAGAGCTCATCAGGCCCTGCTCTGATGGCTGTAGGGGAGAGGGGGGATGATTTTTCAATCCTACCTCCACCTTTCCGGGTGTGACATGGGAGGTGACACAAAGTTCTGGGGGTCTCCAGTTGCAGTGGATGGCCACTGACTGCTTCTCTCTGTCCAGCAGAACAACAAGAATGAAAGCGCACTGCAGTTTGGAGCAGCAAGCAAAGGAGCTGCAGGAGAAGCTGAGCAAGGTGAAGGAGATGGTGAACTCTCTGCCCTATCCAAGAAGGGCTGGCAGGCACCAGCTTCTGGGGAGGGGAGGCCAGGCCAAAGGCAGGTCCAGCTGGGGGCAGGGTGACCCCAGCACCTTCCAGGCAGCCCATGACTGTTTCTGCTTCCTACCTTCTGACTTTAGAGGTGGGTAGCCCGGGCTCCTCCCAGGTCTGGACATCATCTTCCCAGCTAGAGGCATGGATTCCCCCAATCATAGGGGTGGAGACAGTGGTATAAGAGGGTCCTTATGCCAGGCACACAGTGGCTCCTGCCTGCGTCCCAGCACTTTGGGATGCTGAGGCAGAGAATCACTTGAAGTCAGGAGTTTGAGACCAGCCCACCAACATGGCGAAACCTCATCTCTACTAAAATTATAACAACAACAAAAATTATCCCGCATGGTGGCACATGCCTGTAATCCCAGCTACTCAGGAGACTGAGGCATGAGAATCTCTTGAGCCTGGGAGGTGGAGGTTGCAGTGAGCTGAGATTGCACCACTGCACTCCAGCATGGGCCACATGTGCAGACACTGTCTCAAAACAAAAGAAAAAAAGCCTCCTTAGATTCTAAACTGGATTCCGGCCTCGGTTCCATCAATACCATTCAACTACTTTTCATCTCTAAGTCTCTGTTTCTTTAGTCAAAAGGGTTGTGCATTTTTTTATAAGTGCTGTAATGGAATGAGAGAATACATGGAAAGTTAATAGGCTTGCAGCACACCCAGTAAGACCCGTGGCTGGCCCCGCCTTCCAACCACAGTCCGTGGTCCACAGCCTAAAACGGTGTAAATGACAGGAGATCTTGAGGCTGGGGAAGGAGGCATGGGTTCGAAAGTAACGGGGAAGTCTCTTAGGCCTGGAGTAAGGGGCCAGGGTCCCAGACAGGTTACAGAGCCCCCACTGTGCCCTCACTACCCTACACGGCCCAGAATCTGGAAGCCAACCACCACATGCTCCTCATGCCCAGGGTCTTCCTGCAGATACAGCTGAAGAGCCAAGAGTCTCAGAGTCTGCAGCAGCAGCAGTGAGACTAGTACTGGGGTCACCTGAAGCAGTACGTGGTCACCCATTAGCAGCTGAGACCCTGAGAAGCAGGCTTCAGACAGGCAGTTACTGCAGACCCAGCTCATGGACCAGCTGGGTAAGGCAGTGCAGGAAGCTCAGGCAAGCGGGCTGAGATGGCCTGCCAAACCTGCAGGAGACCCAGGAGAGGGGAAGGAAGTCACAGACAGGGCCCTGAGGGGACGACCTGGCAACCTCTCTGTGCCTCTCAGTCTGTTTTCCATTCCCTTAGAGTTTAGAAGCTGCCAGCAGAACCAAAGCAGCTGGAGGTCACTAGCCGAGTCTCATGGCTCTCCTGGACAAGGTACAGGAGACCACCAGGAGGAAGAGGAGAGAGCCCCAGGAGGAAGCGGGGACTGTTAGCAGCATAGGATTGAGGGGTTGGAAGAGACCTTAGAACAGCTTTTGGCTGTTATGGCAACCGGGTGTCTGGCACCTAAGTTCGCATCAATATGATGACCTTCTGGGGGAGCAGGCGGCTACCAGGTTGCCTAAGGATAAGTGAACTGGCCCAGATCAGAAAGGGAGCAGGTCAGAACTCCCGCACCAACCGGTAGTGTGACTGTGCCTGGGCAATGTAGAAGATCTGATCTTAGGAAAATAAAGAACAGCACTTACCTCTGGGGAGGGGCTGGCTCAGGGTTACACAGTGAGGTGGGGACAGAGATGGGCCCACAGTACTTCCTTGTTGTTGTCTGAGGACCCTCTGGCCACCTCCCTGGGTAGGAAGATGGAGGAGGACATCTGAACACTGAGGAGGAGGGGGTGCCTCGGCCTATGCCGAGTGTCCCAGAGGACCTGGAGAGCCGGGAGCGTGAGTCTGACTTCCTGCGCCCGCTTTGCCACCTTCCTCTGTGGTCCCTCCCAGACCCTTATGCCTTGCTTTCCCCACCTTCTGATTTCTCTGACCTCACCCCTTCCGGAGCCAGTGGTCAGACACCACTCACCTGTGACCCAAAGGTGCACTCTCTGAGACCCCAAGGGAAGGGGCTGTGCTCCACCTCCCAGCCCCATTTGTTCTGTGTATGCCCCTACAAGAATACTCAGCTCTTGCCTTCAAGTGGCATTTTTCAACTCCACTGGAGCCAGTGCCCAGGAGGAGCAGGCACGGCTATGTGGGCAGCGGAAGGTGTGAAGGCTGTGCTGCCTGCACCTGGCTCACCTGGTGGCCTCGGCCTGGAAGGAGCCAGAGGCAGAGGCCCCGGCCCCAGGGACTGGGGGTGAGTTTGTGTGTGGGGAGAGCTACCGGGCCCTGTAGGAGGCCGTGGAGAAGGTGAAGGTGAGTGAGTCCTGGCATGGGCCAAGAAAAGTGGGGGCAGGGCAGGAGAGGTCACTCCTGAGATATGACCAGATTATTTTGGCTCCAGAGTGGCTTTATCGACCTCCCAAAGGAGAAGGTGGACGGGAAGGAGCAGGTGGAGAACCTAGAGCTTGGATTCATCCAGCTCTCTGGAGCGACAGATGGCATGAGTAAGCAGGAGGCCAGGGCACGGGCACGGGGAGCTGCAGGGCCTTCAGAGGGGCCCCAGTGTCTGAGCCGTGTCCTCTCACAGGAGAGCACATCACGGTATATGAGAGCCAGGGGGCAGGGCCAAACATGCGGCACGAGGAGGAGGAAGCCAGCAGGCTGGCCCAGAAGGAGCAGGAGATGAAGGTAGAGGGTGTGCAACATCTCTGCGGGGGTGGGGGTGAGGGTGGGTGCTGGCGCCGGCTCAGGCGTGGTAACTGAGCACCCCTCTCTTCAGGTGAAGCTGCTGGAGCTGCAAGATATGGTGTTGCCAGTTGCAGGCGACCTCGAGGGGCATGGCAAATTCCTCCCTGCTGTCCAGAACCCTCTTGAGGAGCCCGCTCCAGGGGCCCCAGCCCCCCAGGAACTTGCAGCTGCGGAGGAGCAGAGTGGTGAGTAGAGTCCTCAGGCGGGGTGGGCAGGCTGGAGCAGGGGAGGTTCCCAGTGTACTCAGAGCCCCGCCTCCCTCTCTCCGAAGATTTTCAGGACAGCGTGGAGCCTGCACCGGGACAGGCCAGGGAGGGTTCTCCCCGTGACAACCCCACTGCACAGAAGATCCTGCAGCTGCTTCCTGTAACGCAGGACGCCCAGGAGCACCCAGGCTTTGCCACCAAACCCTGCGTGCCATTCTTTTACCGGGCAGCCGAGAACAGGGAGAAAAACATCATCATCATCTGAAGGGTGGTCAAAAAATTTAAAAAAAAAAAAAAAAAAAAAACAGTTATGGGGTTAATCCCCTACACAATTCATCTACTTCATTGGAATGTTAGAGCCCCTCATGTTTATTTATGTTTCAATTTACAGTTTAAATTTATTTATAAAAAGTTAAGGGAGAGTGGGTCTTTCCCTGATGTTCACTCTGTCATCCTTTAGCATTTTTGTTTTTAATTGATAATTGTAGGTCATTAGCTCACATATGGAGTTTGCCCTTACATGGTGGGAGTTCAAACACTCAAAGACCCACTATTTGCACAAAACTATTCTTACTGGTTTGGAATAGGCTGCCATGCTTTTTAAATATTATTGCAGCATGTATATTCATTACGGAATTCAGATAAAATTGGCTTATGTTCTGCTATTATGTTTCATCGAATCCTAATCACAGTGAGCTCTTCATTAGCTCAGTATGTGGTTTGCCCTCAAGTGCGCACTGTTTCTTACTTTGTAATATGCCGAGAGTACTGACATTTAGAATTGTTTAAAGGCCAAGAACTGGAAACAGTCTTTCCCCTATTTTCTGTGTATTGGGGATGGGAGTAATAACATTTTGGGGAGCTTTTTAAATCTCACAGAAGAGGAAAGTGGCCTACTCTGGCAGGTGTGTGCAGGATAGAGTGTTTGCCATTTGTTCTGGTGCCAGGAATGAGTGCGGTACTATGGTAGTCCCCTTAGGATTTGTACGTGCTCTGGGCTCATGAAGATATTGCAGCATGAGCTGCAGCAGTTGGACTCTTTCTCAATGACCTAAAAAGGGATTATTTCCTAGGAATGAAAGGCTCCCATCATTGACTGTGGATGTGGAAAACATTTCCCAGCCTAGAGCATTTATATCTACAATGCATTTTAAAGTCAGAGTTCATGTTACCTGTTTTAATCACATGACAACATGTCCCAGTACACAAAAGGGCACTGTTTGGCATTCTTCTTAATGTATTTAGTAAAGATCATAAGAAATCCTTTCAGAGTTTAAATATCCCTGGAACAGGCATACAGGCTCTGGTCAAGAATGAGTTTGAGTGATACCTGGCATTCCTCTATGTTCACGGAGCTTCCTTGAGGCTAGAAGATTGATTTTACCATCTAGACCTCTCTGGCTAATACCTATTCTTCAGCCACATTGGTTAATCTGACATAGGAATTTACTTCTTTTCCTTGAATGGAAAACACTTTAAAACTAATAACAACCATTATTATAAACCAATATATGTGACAGTACTTAGTTGAAACAAAAAGGAGTTTTAGTAGACAGTATTATACTACATTTGAAAATCAAGGTGAAGTTTATGCAACTTAAAATGTTTACAAACTGCAGTGCAATCTACTGTTGGTGAATGTCACAATATTGTGAGTAAAAGTGTCTATACAATCACAGAGTTATATTTCCTCACAAAGTTCTTTACAAAGAGTGAAATATGTTTTTATACCTCTCGGTTTCAGTTAGAGGCATATTTTGTGCCACATTTATGTTAATGTGCCTATACATGATGAATGAATTATTTCAGTCATACATTGCCTGAATCATAACTTCATGATGCTTGGGAAAGAATCAACAGTTAAAACTTCATGAAGTTCTAATGTCTATGTTCCAATATACATCACAGTATTAGGATGTAGGGAGAGATGTATGTGCGCTCCCTGGGGTGGGCATTTCTAGTTACTAGGCCATCTCCATTTTTAGCATTTGACATCCTCATCATACTTTTATAAATATGACATTAATAGGAGAGCAATAATATGATTTTACAGATGGAATAACAGATTTTCCTGCATTCACTGAAAAAGTGCAAATATTGGGTCCTTGTGACTTCAACTGACTCTTCCAAATTGTATGAATTTATCAATGTATTAGATAAACCCAGTTTCAGAATGATAAAGAAAAACTGTTAGACCAAATAATGTGGCTAATTAACAATGGTACGATTTCTAGCCTGAGGGTTTAAAATGGACTTAAGGTCCTGTTCTTGCCTTCTGTTTTGTGAACTTGCCACTTTTGCATTATTTGAGTTCACTTGAAAGACAGTTATTTTAAGTCCATTTTAAACCCTCGGGCTAGAAATCGCACCACTGTTAATTAGCCACCTTGTTTGTTCTAACAGTTTTTCTTTATCATTCTGAAACTGGGTTTACCCAATACATTGATAAATTATTTCAAAGGAATTTTTATAGTTCAAATCACTTCACTTTTATCCTGATAAATATAAATGACTAGGAATGACCTTCAGATAGTGTTTAGTAGCTGTAACCAATCTGACAATAATGTGTTCATGGATTAAATCACATACTGGCATATTTAAGCTGAATGTCTGTCTGGAAAATAAATGTACTATATTAACTGAAATACCACTTTGTGTAGGTATTTTGTCATATGTTTCAGAAAAAGCTAGAAAGAATGGAAATCCTATGACAATAACTTAAGTCTTCAAAGTGCATGCAGTCTTTGCAATACCTCATTCAGCCAAGTATTTGTTCTCTTCCTCATTCAGTATAAGGCAGCTTTCAATCTGCTTAGAAGGCAACATTAGAAGGTTAGAGTTCATCAGAAATACAGAATTTTAAAATGTGAGTTCAACTGAATAAAATTGAATTTCTGTAGGAAGTAAAGAACCAAAATACCTATTTAAAGATTGCAATATATGGTCATTATTTTTAAAGTATCTGTTTAAACCTGATAGGTTTTCCAGAAATGAAAAAAAAAATCAGTTCTAAAACTAAAGCTGATTTTTAGAAAATGTGAAAATGTAAATCAGCCCTATCCGTAATATTTTCTCTAAAACGTTATCTTACAGTGTCACTTTAAGATGATATAACTATTCAAAAATGTAACTGCTATGTTAATGTTTTAAAATAAGTTAAAACATCTTAAAATATGAATACTGTAGTTTAAAGCAAAGAACCTGGGGGAAGGAAAAATAGAGAAAGAAATGCCAATTCCAATGCCAAGCTTTATTTGCTGAGTTTTCTTAGAATGACTTTTACCAATTTATGAATCCCTATCAACAGAATGTATAATGGAAATACTGAAAAACCTTTGTGTAAACTGGAATTATTGACTGCTACTCTGATGCTACTGTAATGTAATAAATTAGGAAATTGTTGCAAAGTGCTGTTTTTGCCGTAAATTTTGTGTGTCTTCAAAACTATGGTGTTAAATGTATTGAGACTGTGCAAATGCTGGGCACGCTTGGCATGAGATAATCGGCTTTTGTTTTTACAAAATTGTAACTATGCAAGTGTGTTTATTAAAAGAACAGAAACTAAAAAGAAGTTATGGGAATTTAAGACAGTTGTGGGATGAAACAGTTATGGGATAAAAAATGCTGTGGAACAGCGGCCAAAAAAGTAGAAAAAGTTTTAAGAAAAGTTTTTTTTTAAGTTATAAGAAGTTATGAGATTTTTTTAAAAGTCATGGGATAAAAACAAAAATAAATAAAAGCAAGCCCCTGTCAGCATAAGACTGGAGAAGTGGGGCTAGAGTCTTCGCCCCCCATCATGTACCAACCACCCCTTCCCAGTCACCCCTTTACCATTAGGGTAGCAAGACAAGACCCCGTCTAATGGAGGGAGACAAACAGACCCTTTGCCATCTTGACCAGGGCCAAGTCCTTAAATTTCTGGACGGTGATGTTTGTTATTGAAGAGCCAGAGGCTGGTGGAGTTGGTTTGTTTGGAGGAGGCCTGATGACCTCCCTACTCTCACCAAAGCAACTTTTCCCTCAGGGGGCCTCACATCTTCTTATTCAGAGAGGCAGCTGAGGTGGGACAGTGGGGCTAAGTGTAGAGCAGGCGAGGGCACAGGCTGCTGGGGTGGTCCCCCTTCCCCAGTGTACATATAGTATCTGTGTAACATTTTGTATATTCCGGGGGGTAGGGCTGCCCCCTGTATCGTACCTAGTGGAGGTTGGAGCTGGCATATGAGGAGGAGGTTCTAATCATTATTTATGGCTGGGAAACTTATTTATTGATAGCACAGGACAGAGGAAGGAGGTCGGGATGGGGTTGTGGCTCCCTGGTGATGCGACTCCTGTTTATTTTGCTTTTCATTTTGGAATAAATGGATTTAGCCATACTGCTCAGCCTGCTGGGTTCCCGTTTCCCTCACTGGGTCCTGGAGTTTGTGCCACTGAACGAGGAGCCCCAGAGTGTCTGAGCATGTCCAGCTCAGCTGTTGGGGACCTTCCAGGCCTGTTACTTATATGCTGTCTGGTGACACCTGGTGGATTTCATGGGGGCTGCCATGGCACCTATGGGGCACAGTGAGGCCCTGACAGCCAACAGGCTCAGAAGCCTGATCTAGCGGTGGCCAGGAAGGCAGATACCAGCACCCAAGGACACTGACTTCCATCCACCCCAGGCATCTTCCCTTCAGCCCCCCTGCCTCTCTCGCCTATCTGCACTGGGTGGCCTGTTCTGTCTGTCCCTCCAGAGTGACGGGTGCTCCACAGGCTCCTCCAGGCTGAGTTCATGGCCCTGCCCCCTAGTGGCCACAGCCAGCTTAACAGGATAAGAGCCAGCTAAGCTCCAGGGGCCTTCCAGGAAGTGTCCCTTGGAAAAGGTGTGGCCTTTTCACCATTCCCAACAGCACCCTAGAAATGGCTTGGCCTTTTCCCTCCCCTGAGCTCCACAGAGAACACAGCCAGCAGAGGACACATTCCCTGTCATCCAGAAATGGATCTGATTCTCAGCTGAGGGACAGCAGAACTGGTAGACACTGTCAGCCCACACAGTTGCCTGCACAGCACCCCCATGCTTGGTGGGGGGTGGGAGGGATGGCGGAGGCTGGCTGTCCACAGGCCGGGCATGACAGGGAGGCTCACTGGAGGTGGTGCAATTTGGAAGGGCAATGTCAAGGGACAGCTTTCTCTTGTTGGGCCATAAGACTCCACAAGGACATCACAGTGACTGATTCCCAGTGCTAGAGGTGAGGCGGTCGGCCACGTGTAGATGTGTATATATATATA